GAACGCATTTTAAAACGATTTTATGAACAAGTTTTATGGTGGTTCAAATGGGGTTAGAATGAAAAAATAAATATTTGAAGGATTATGAAATGTCCGGTCGGGAAAAGACCATTAAGAACCCAAAAATGGTCGAAAATGTTGAAAATTGTTCAAACCATATTATCAAGGATTCAAGAAGTATGTTTGCCAGACAAGTTGATATATGATTTTACATTGTGAACAAAGTTGTAAAGCAAGATTTAAAATGACTAATATCTGGGTCAATTTCCTCCCAAAGTCTCTGACATAAGACCAAAGGGATTACATTGATTATGTATCTCGTATGTAAATCAAACCAGAAAAATCCTCAAAATTCCTTCATACATTCAATACTTTATCTCTCTTTTCTTTTGATCGCTCTTAAAGAGTTTAAAACAGACTCTGGTGGATCAAGTTTGAGACTACTCTGAAAATTTTCTTGCTGTAACGAACGAAGCTGATTACTTCCCGGAGAACCCTCCATACATTACAACAGAGATACGATTGAAGAACTGATCAGAAAAATAATCTGGTATAGATATAGTGAACTTTTAAAAATATTATAGGGCTGAAACATCTAGAAGTACCTCTAAAAAAATTCGCAAAACTTATGAACGTTTCTCGTAATTTTTACTAATTAAAATCATATTTACACAGAAATATTATGATCAAAATGCCAAAACTAGATAATTTCTCTTTTTTTGGCATTATTTTTAAAGTAACTGTACTCTCGTCTCTAGAAATTACATCCGTGAAACCATAGATAAATTAAAACACAGAAGGACACTAGATGTCGTCTTTTCAAGATTTGGATGAAACTCGTTCACAATAAACCCCTAGGCAGCAGCCCAGAGGAGTTTCTTTCAGTTGGCCTAGAACAGGCTCTCTATGTCTGTAATTCTATGCCGACTGTGCGAAACTCTTATGGGCTTCTGCTTTAGGGATATTTTGAACGAGTTTCATCCAAATCTTGAAAGGACGACATCTAGTGTCCAATCTGTTATTTTAATTAATCTATGCTTGCAACCTGATGCATGATTGTTCTTTCGTTTCTGCTTTCATTGTAAAAAAAATATTTTTAGATAATATTTTTTAGAAAACTTACGATTGACGAGCAGCTACCTGGCCGGTCAGAATATTTTCTCCCAGCAGCAGCCTGCCGGTCAACCAGGGCAGGGTCAACTTATTCTTCCCTCTGCCAGGTTAGGCGCCTTATCATTATTATTAAAGGGACTGTAAGCGTAATTTACAACGACGATGCCTTAGAAAGGTTTGTCTGATCAAGTTTGAATCATATATTAATGTTTTGCTTTTTCAAACAGTTTATTTTCGTTAGTGGTTTCTCTCCAAAAATGACTTGCGCATGTCTTGCATATAGTAAACAATGAGAAAATTCAAATCCTTGCATGGAGGGTCACTTTAATATAATCTTGCTTACAGTCCCTTTAAGGGACTGTAGACGTAAATTCAAGTGACCCTCTATTTACAATGGTTCCCTTTAAATCCTTTAAACCCTTTAAATCTTATTCCGAGCAATTTAATTTTGAAAAGTCCTTATTAGACTAGGTCGATAAGTCACTCGACCCCTCAGCCCTTCCATGTACCGAGATGTTAGTCTCAAAGCGAGGGAGCGTGTTTGGACCACACACTCGACCCCTCAGCCCTCCCATGTACTGAGATGTTAGTCTCAAAGCAAGGGACCACACACTTCTCAGTAATCGATGTTTTTCTCTTTAAAAAGTATTTATTTCTCTTAGTTTTCTTTAATTTCTCTATTGTCACCACATTTACAGAGATCCCACTTTAAAATATCAATTTTGAACTAGATTAATAATCTAATTCATAATTGATCAGACAAATTGTGAATAAAAAATAGAAAGTTATTGAAATTACGTTCTACAGTCCCTGAGAAATTTTGCGTTTATGTTTTAATCGGAATTAGGTCAAATTAATTTAATTGAAATAAATAAGTTTGCTAAGTTTTCTTTAAGCCTTCTATTCCTTTATTATTTTTTTTTTGCTCCGAACATTTTTGCTACTCAGACAGAGATATTAATTATACAATTGGGAATTGGACATGAATGAATGTGTACTTGAAATTAAAGAAACTTTTTATTTTATTTTCAGAAATTACAAGATTGAAACTTCATTGCCGGAAGCAATGACAAGAAAAATCTTTATTCAGGTAAAAAGGTTTATTTGTTAAATTATGATTTGTTGTCAATTTGGAATTATATTAAGCCATTAAACAGCATGGACACACATAAACATAGAAGTCAAGAGAAACTGTCATTTATACGAGTGTTTCTTTGATTACTTGTAAACTTGTAATTCGAAAAAAGTTTGTTAACAATCAAAACTTATATAAGAGTTGTCTATTGTTTTCTAATTATAAACTCTCACAGTAACACAAAATTTAAACTGCTAGCGCAAATGGGGTTAAATGGACTGAATTTGGGGTTAATGAATTTGAGCCGGTTTCGATTGAGCGCCGGCTTAAATCTTGAAAAAATACAAGTTTAAATGGAACCAAATATTTTTAAGCCGCGTCTCAAATTCTGTAAATTCGGCTTCTGTATGCGTAATTTTAAGCGATCCTGTATATAAAATGGTCAACGCCCTATTCCTTGAAACCTTTATCTCATCATTAATGTTGAAGATATTCTTTTTTTCTTGGGTTTAAAGTGTTTAATTCTGTAAATCCTAAATGTGTTCTTGCAGTAGAAATGCGCAAGTCACCTTTGTAGAGAAATTAGAATTGAAAATAAAACAGTTTTCAAAGTTATAAACATTGATATCTAATTTTTACTTTATCAGACAAAGCTTTTAAGGGTACTGCTGAAGTACACTTATTATTGGGAATTTCATTCATTTATTCAATTACCTCTTCAGAGCTGGAAACTTTTGAGTTAGATTCTCACAATCCCGATCCCTTGATCTAGATATCCACTGTGGGCTCGTTAAATTTGAGGATTTAAACAAAAAAATTAGCTTTCCATATTATCATTTTAGTTATTCCTCCCTTGATCAAAGCTCCCTTTAACCCCTGATATTACGATGTGAGATATCGAATAAATATTAAATTAATCTGCAGATTAACTAAATTTAATCTAATTTTTAGACTAGAATTTATTTATTATTCTTTTTTACTTTTTTACGTAATAGTGTTATCATTGAACATTGTATTTTCATCTAATTAAAGGGACAAGTTGCAAATTCAAGATACCATCCATTAAAAAAGGGTCAATGTCAGATTCACAAGAGATACCCTTTAAACCTTCATCTAATCAATAATGGAGAAGTTATCGCTATTTTCTAGCAAAAAAGCGATTAATTCTAATAATATCCTATAGTGTTCCTGTAGCAGAAATGCGCAAGTCCTAGAAACTAAAATTGACGTGCGCTTCATACGTGCAGTGGTGAAGCGCGTGCAGAGAAGTTTATTCTCTTTAATATGTTATTTTAGGCAGTAGTGGGTGCGCTTCATACGTGCAGTGGTGAAGCGCGTGCAGAGAAGTTTATTCGTGAAATATTGATTGCACAACTCGAGGGGAAGGTAATACAGAGAGCACCAGATAACTGTGGAATATGAAGACGACATTAAAGCAATACTTAGTGTATTTGATGTTGTTGTTGTTGATAAAAATGTTCAGATCCTTTCAGAGCTTGTCTTAAAAGTTTCATCAGTAAAAAAGCAAAACAAAAACTTTTAATAAAATTCTCACTTTTAAATTCATTCAGGTTTTTGTAAATAATAATCACTAATAGTGCAAGCAGTTTTTTTTTAAATATGTTGATATTGGTACCAAGTCCGTCTTGAAACACTGAATTCACTCCCTAATCTACGGAGTAAGAACAAGAATACGGTTGAATCGTCTTTCCTTCTAAATATTGAATTATATTAGCAAAAAATGTGAATGCTCATTTTAATTTAGTTTTCTAATCTCTATAACTTTGAACCCTGATGTTGTAAAGCTGTTATATTTCAAGTTTTGGCTGTAGGATCTCGAAAAATATATAGTTTGAAATATCAAAGGATTTTAACAACATGTTGCAAAGATGAAATATGAATCTTAGAATCGGGTAAAAAACATCAAACCTAGGATGATCATTTTAGGTACTTTTACCTGACAGTTCAAATAATGAGTTTTTGGGGGGATTTTTCTTGCCTGGTTCATTGGATCCATAATTTACCAGATTCTTAATTTAATATAGAACTGGGATGTACATTTATTGCAGTAACCCGTCCATAGGCTGATGATGAAGGATTATTCTAAGGCCTATTAAGACAGTAGAACCTAACCATTTCAAAAATAGAAAAATAGAAAAGGAATGGCGGGGGTGGCGGGCAGACTGGGGGTCCTGCTAGTTATAAATAAAATTTGTTTTTAGNCTTCAGAATATGAAAATGGAGGCACCTGAACCAAGTGTTCTAAATATATCTATAAATATGAAAATGGAGGCACCTGAACCAAGGTTAGACTTTTGCTTTTAAATGCTTGATAACTAGGCGTATTCACACTAATAGGCCTATGTTGGGCCGGGTACTGTGAAAAGTCTGACCGCGCCATTAAAGTTAAAACTAAGCCGGCTATTGGATAGGGTCGGGGCGGTACTTGCCACGCGTCACCAAGGCTGGTACAAGGGGTCGGTCAGGTTCGAATAAATTGACCCTAGTCCACCGTGGTCACTAGTTAAAAAAAAAATTAGCATCTGCTTTAATGATTTTTTAAGACTAATTAATGTTCAACAAAAAGGGGGGAGGGACTTTTTATTTTTTCATTCAGTTCCCTCCCTCACCAAAAATTATTGCAAAACTCAAATCAATCTTTCAAAATTCTTAACCCAGGTTCAAGGGAATGTAAGCGTAATTTAAAGTAACCCTGCCCACAAAGATGGCAATGCCCGATTCACAACGGTACCCTGTAAAGCTTTGTCTGATGCAAGTATAATGAAAAATGATTATTTTCAAGAAAAGAGACTTACGCATTTCTACTACAGATTTTGACACTTTTTAACCCTAGAAAAACGACAATATCCTCCATGTTGTTAATCAGATTAATGTTCCAAGGGTATCGTTGAAATTACGCTTACAGTCCCTTTAAATATTTTCTATTTGTCTAGACTACTGTGGCAGAGTGGACCCAAGACCTTGCTTTCCTCCTTCATTGTTGGAATATATTCAGATAAAAAGGTTTTTTAACAATTTTTCTTTATTTTTTTATTGAATAATATGGTACGGGGCATAGTTAATATTTTTATATGTTAATCTTTGTTCTCCTTTCTTCACCCTTCTTTAGGTTCTCTTTGGTCTTGTACTTCTTTTTGTCGTCAATTAGTCCAATGATCAAGAACATTTAACAGAGCGATTGTGCAGTGTACACAGATCCATTTCACTTCATAAGCTGATTTTTAAGCTACTAGTTAAAAACATTTGCTTAATAACAAAATCGAATATATATGCGATTGCTTCCGATTATCTAATATGTTCCAGCGTATTCAGAATAAAAGATCGGATTATATTCGGAGAAGGAAAAAAAGTTCGTTTGAAATGAAGTTGAGAGATCACATTTAGAGAACGCACAGTGTGGAATGTGGATACATAAAAAAGGGACTGTAAGGGTAATTTTAAGTGACCCTCTGTACAAAGATAGATAAGATAAAGTTTATAGCTAAAATACATGTATCTGTATACAGAACGAGATTACAATTACAAATTGATGATTATATTAACAGTACAAGTATAAAGCAATTAGGTGGAAAATAGCTCTTGGCTGTTTTGATTACTTTTTCACCTAATTTCAATAATGATTACAACACATTTCAATTAAATAGATTTAAGGAGAATTATTAGAGATCAGGGTGCGAATTTATCTTATGCAAAATATTTTATACACTAATTAGAATAACTAGAGTTTAAAGTAATTTTCTGACATGTATATAACAAATATTAAAGCATATTAAACATATCTAATTAGTTTTACATGAATAGCAATACTAGATTCACAACCGTATCCTTAATTAAGCTTGGTCTAATCAGGAAGGAATGAGATATCCATGTTTTTATTTCATTTGAGGTTTCTCTGTGAACAAACTTGATTTTTTGCCAATAATACAGCAATGGAATAAATTCACAGAAGTTAACACCTTTCTAGTCAGGAAAACGACGGTATCTTCCACATTTTTGATCAGATTAAGGTTTCAAGGGTATCTTTCCATGCAGGGTCACTTGAAATCCTTTCTAGTCAGGAAAACGACGGTATCTTCCACATTTTTGATCAGATTAAGGTTTCAAGGGTATCTTTCCATGCAGGGTCACTTGAAATTACTCTTATAGTCCCTTTAAGGACGCATATGCAATACGGATATGTTTGATAATCTAACGTATTTAAATTTAATCTCTGTTTGTTTGTCCTTGCCTGATCATGACTCATGAACCCCTGGACCGATTTGCCTCAAATTTTGATTGGGGAACTCGGGAGAAGCACGGGAATGTTCTTAGTCTAAAGTTCCAACTTGAGTTGGTTGAATTTTATAAAGAAAGTTAGTCGGCGATTAAAGCAATACAACGGAGACGACTTTTTAAAATAATGCTTTGCTCCCAACAAGCAATTATGAGATTGCATGTTTACAAGCTGTTAATTGACATTTTCTCTATGTTTTAATGTTAAAGTGATGTTTGAAACCTTGTTAGAAATCAAAATTGAAATAGAAAGTCGTCTTTATTGTATTGATTTAGACGACGACAACTGTAGATTTGTTTTCTAGCTGATTGGTCAGTTTGCTGGAGAGAGTGTGGAAGTGGCAGAGGAGATGGCAGCCAGTTGTTCAAGACTACCGACTGTATGAAACCTCTGCCTGTTCACTCCCCCTCCATCTCTTCAACCAAACCAAACAAATCTATTCAGGTTGATTTCCATTGACCTTCCATTGGAAGGGGGGCATTCCAGATTCACCCAGTAAACCTTTATCAGATCAATCATGTAGAAGATATCTTCGTTGTATTGTATTGACGTAACGTATTGATTCTGACAATTTCTTTCATTGTTTCGGAAGCAGAAATGCGTGAGTCACTTTTTGGAATAATCAATTTTTAAAATGATTAGATAAATAGACTATAATTGTAAATTCAAGTGACCCTCCATGCAAAGATTGCATTTAACCCAAGATATCTATTCATAACGCGATAAATGCAATAACATATACGGAAACTAAATTCATAACATATACGGAAACTAAATTCATAACATATACGGAAACTAAATTCAAATATAATTGTAACGCAGAGATCGGGCTGGAAAGCCGGAAATCGGAGAAGAATTGAAATTCAGATCCAGAGCCATCCCTGTAAAATTTGATTTGATTTGATTTGGTTTGGTTTGATTTGATTTGATTTGATTTGATTTGATTTGATTTGTCCAGATTCACCCAGTAAACCTTTATCAGATCAATGATGTATAAGATATTGTCGTTGTTTAGCTTAACGTATCGACAATTTCTTTCATTGTTCCGGAAGCAAAAATGCGTGAGTCACTTTTTGAAATGATCAATTGTTAAAATGCTCAGATAAATAGACTATAATTGTAAATTCAAGTGACCCTCCATGCAAAGATTGCATTTAACCCAAAATATCTTAACGCGATAAATGCACAATAACATATGTGGAAACTAAATTCAAATATAGTTGTAACGCAGAGATCGGGCTGAAAAGCCGGAAATCGGGGAAGAATTGAAACTCAGATCAAAAAGAAGGATGCCTCAAGCCATCCCTTTAAAATTTGATTTGATTTGATTTGATTTGATTTGATTTGATTTGATTTGATTTGATTTGATTTGATTTGATTTGATTTGATTTGATTTGATTTGATCTGATCAAGTATAAATTATAAATCAATGTTAATAATTTTGAAAGCTGTTTTTTTTCAATCTTTATTTTTCTTCAAAAAAGACTTACGTGTATTCTACTTAAGGAAAACATGTAGGTGTTATCAGAATTAAATACTTTCAAACTTTAAAAAACGACAATATCTTCCACATTATTAATTAGAAAGGTTTCAAGGCTACCTTTGTTAATCTGGCATTGAATTTTGCATTTTGTTTACCACATATGATATTTCGTAAAATTCAATATTTTTTCTGTCAAATCATTACAAGTATAAAAAGGCCCAGGTTGTGAACTGTCAACTAAAAGAGAAACAAAAAAATGTGAATAACACAAATTTTATTTTATTCTTTTTATAAGTTTTCTCTTGTTTTAGGACTGGAGAATAGAGGACCAGCCGAACATTGTCAATTTGTCTTCATGAGCTGAATGAAATCTCAATTTGTAATTAAATTTGAGTTTTTGAAGAAGAAAAAAATAATTTAACGAAAATTTTCGATTCCACCAATTGTTAATTTTCAAAGAAAATGAAGAATTTAAAACATTTCTTGTATGAAATTCATGTACGCTGTAAAGTGTACATAATATTTGTTTCAGAATTATTTGTTTACAATGCTGTTGTACCGAAGTTTGGGGTTAAACCGGTTTTCTTTTGGAAGCCGGTTTTATTCTAAAATGATAATACCACATCCTTCTTCTTCAAGGTATTAAATTTCAGGANAGAATTTTTAAAATTACACTTACAGCACGGGCAGCTGTAGTACATTTGAATTTCCGAGCCGGGTCAACTTTTCCGCTCCCAGTTTGTACTGTAACGCCCGGTCATTGAATAAATGAAGCAGACAATCAATAGGACTAGCCGGTGCAACAAGGTTGACGCGGTCAGACTTTAGGCTGAATTTACTTTTACTAAAGGATCAGAGGTGCGTGACAGTGATCTAAGTCGATTAAATAAAGTTTAAAACAAACTTCTCCACTCGGCGTAAACATCAAAGAACTCGGTGTTTCTTCTAAAATTAATAAAAATGATAAAACTCAATTTTAACTTAAAGCTTTCCAAACTATATTAATATTAAATGTATTGTATATCACTGCAAACTGGGTATAAGGGGAGGGTTAAAAGTGTTCGACATTCCTGATTCAACATTGTGATCTCGTAGCTCCTTTAGCTTTGATCTTACACGCACATATATACACGTTGTGCATAGGAGCCTATAGCAATCCCTACATCTAATGATTGATTGATATTTAGAAGATTGGTGGATAGAGAATTGGCGACTAAAGTTAGTTCAGAAATATCCAGTATAAACTCAAGATTAGGTAATCTATCTAAACACTTCTTTTGTAAAATCTATTCATTTTGATGCGGATCCGGATCCAGGTCATAAACATATTGTCTAAGTTTAATGATTATTTCAACAAAAGAAGAATTTTTCGATTTTTTAGTCTATTTTTATGCTAATAGTTTGAAAGCAAAAAGATTATTTTTTTACAGTTTCTGGATCCGGATGAACTTGTTAAAAAAATTTAAAGGGCTGAAACATCTAGAAGTACCTCTAAAAAAAATTTCGCAAGACTTACGAACGTTTCTCGTAATTTTTTTTTAAATTAAAATCTTATTTACACAGAAATATTATGATCGAAATGCCAAAACTAGATAATTTATCTTTTTTTGGCATTATTTTTATAGTAACTGAACTCTCGTCTCTAGAACTTACATCCTTGAAACCATAGATTAATTAAAACACAGATAGGACACTAGGTGTCGTCTTTTCAAGATTTGGATGAAACTTGTTCACAATAACCCTGAGGCAGAAGCTCTTAGTTTTCTTTAATTTCTCTATTGTCAACACATTTACAAAGACCCCACTTTTAAAAATCAATTTTTAACTAGATTAATAATCTAATTCATAATAATAATTCATAAAAATAGAAAGTTATTGAAATTACGTTCTACAGTCCCTGAGAAATTTTGCGTTTATGTTTTAATCGGAATTAGGTCAAAGGTTTTCTTTAAGCCTTCTATTCCTTTATGTCTTTTTTGCTTCGAACATTTTTACTACTCAGATAGAGATATTAATGATACCATTGTGAATTGAACTTGACAATCTTTGAATAAAGGGGTACTTTAAAAATTAAAGAGGTTTGACTTATTTTATAATTATTTTTTAGAAATTACAAGATTGAAACTTCATTGCCGGAAGCAATAACAAGAAAAAACATTATTCAGGTAAAAAGGTTTATTTGTTAAATTATGATTTTGTGTTAATTTAGATTTATATTAAGCTATTAAACAGCATGGATTCACACAAACATAGAAGTCAAGATAAACTGTCATTTATACGAGTGTTTCTTTGATTACTTGTAAACTTGCAATTCGAAAAAAGCTTTTTAACAATCAAAACTTAAATAAAAGTCGTCTTCATTGTATTGATGTAATCGCTTACCACTGTATTGATCTATATATATCAATCTTTCTATCCATCTATCTATTTATCCATCTATCTGTTTATCCATCTATCTATATGTCTATCTATCTATCTGTCTATTTATCCATCTATCTAACTATCTATCTATCTATCTATCTATCCATCTATCCATCTATCTAACTATCTATCTATCTATCATTTATCATCTATCTATCTATCTATCTATTTATCATCTATCTATCTATCTATCTATCTATTTATCCATCTATCTATCTATCTATCTATCTATCTATCTATCTATCTATCTATCTATCTATCTATCTATCTATTAGGAGAAGAAGAGTGAGGTGAAGGACCCAAGAAAGATTACTAGGATGGAGGAACCTGTTACAAGAAGGTAAACAAATAATAAAACAAGATTTTAGAAGATTATTATTTATCCCTTTTCATCACACTTTGATGGTTGAGCAATCTTAAACATTTTCGCCCACTTTGTCTTTGGTAAATTTACTATGTAGCACTTTTCGACTTAAGTAGTAGACCTGGAACCAGATTTAATGGATTCTGAGATATATATAGTAGAGTGTAGACTATGTTGAACCAGGTGAAGCTGAAGAGAAGTGGTTCAACTTAGTCTACGCGTTTCCATGCCTTGTTAATAAAAAATCTAATCCCTTGATCAGGAACATATTCCCTTGATCAGGAACATATTCCCTTGTTCAGGAACATATTCCCTTGATCAGAAACATATTCCCTTGTTCAGGAACATATTCCCTTGATCAGAAACATATTCCCTTGATATGCTTTTCTGTAGCTCTTTCCATGTACATTTTAGCACTAATAAGCACTTGTTGTTAGCTTTGTTTTTTAAGAAGTAATTGGCAAAATTCTCAAAGATTTTTTCTTGAGAGCTTTAGACCTTTAAATCACATTAAAAACAAAATGGCGCTGATCAGTCAGTAGCTTGCTTACACTTTATCAAAGTTCTTCTTAAATTCATTAAACTCTACAATATTGCAATATAAAATCTTTTGATAAACGTGAGTTCTGATTTTAAAAAACTTCTGAAATTGATTATTTTATAGAAAAATTTTGCTTAAATTCTATAAATAATGATATCTAGGATGTACCTCAAGTTTCGTGCAAGCCGAATTGCGCGCACTAAGAAGAAGGAATTAGCCTTTAGAAGTAGGCTGGCACAGAAGGTCATTTTTTACGTGATCATAAAATAATAAAACAATTTATTTAAACTTCTTGATTTTCATCCTACTTGTAGAACTATTTTCTCTATTACAACATTAAATGAACATAATGTTGTATTCCTATTCTACAGTTTTATGGGTTAAAAAGTTTGCAAAATCGACTTTAAATTTGTGCAAAAAGGTTTTCAAAATTTTGCTATAACGCCTTCAACTTAATTTAACAAAAAGGTCTATAAACAAAGCAAAAGTAGTTGGAAAAGAGTTCATATCGCTTTTTCAAAAAAGGGGGTGTTTAATGTATATTTTTCAGAAAATGATTTTCAAAAGGGGGGACAGGGAAGAAAAATAATTTTTGGAGAAAATATACAAAAAAAAATTTAAGTTTAATTTAGGTAAATGAGGCAAGAAAATTCGATGTTGACGAATATATATCTAATTATCTGGAGGACTTTAATACTCCACTGGTACCAGGTAATAATGTTGAATATATATCTAATTATCTGGAGGACTATAATACTCCACTGGTACCAGGTAATGATGTTGACGGATATATTTCTAATTATCTGATATCCCATGGCCCATGGGGGTCTTAACCACAGGGATAACTGTAATCATGGTATCAAGCATTTATCCTCAAATTTATAAGTGTCCAAATGGGATATCGTGATCAAGATTAAAGGTTACGACCTCTGAAAATAAAATTAATATATTTCCTGTGTTTAGGAACCTATCAAGGGAAGAGATTACCAAAGTGGCTTATACTGGTAAGTCAATTAGATTCAACTTAATAGATATTTTTTTTTTAAATATATTTTTGTAGATTTTTCCCCCTTTTTTTTGATACTTCTGACTCAAGAATAATGTTGTCCCTTATTTAGCGAAAAAATATCATCCACAAGTTTTGAGGATTTTCTTTAAGTTTCAAATTTAAAGAAAACTAAAATTTTTATTTTTAATTTTTGTTTATTGATGAAAGGTAGCAACGATAATTCTTCGTCCGAGCCACATGCTCGGTCAGGTCGGTAAGGGTCACTTGAAATTACGTTTACAGTCCCTTAGAATATAAAATTATTGAATAAACTAGTTTGGGGATCCAGCATTGCCCCGCCGTTTACCCGCACGTGGTCTTAATTTACGATTTTAGCTATTTTTCCCTGTAAAAGTCGCTCCACTCAATTTAGAATCTCAAAACCAAGCAAAGCACATTTCCTTGGTTCTCACAAGTTCCCAATCAAAATTTCGCTCAAAGGTTTCAGCGTTANATTTATACAGGAACTGATGGAACAAGATAAACAGAGATTACTACTTTATATAAATACAGGAACTAATGGAACAAGATAAACAGAGATTAATACTTTATTTTACAGGAACTGATGGAACAAGATAAACAGAAGGAAAGAGAGAAAAGTTTGGAAGGAAAATTCTTTACAACAAAGGCAAGTAGTAAAAAAAACCAGTTTTAATAATAAAAAAAATCGAATAAAAACAACAAAAATCGCCATTCCCGTTCTCAGATAAAATTCTTAAAGAATTGATTTTTTTATCATTTTATTATTATTAACAAAATTAACCTCAAATATGATCATCTTACTAAAAGTTTATCATACAGTGATAACCACAAAATCTTAATTTACGTTTTTAAATAGTGCTATGAGCATGGAACACGTCAATTGTTGCATTGTAAACAGACCCAATTATCTTAATTAGTGATTTAATAAGTTGTAACAAAATGCACTTAAATATTGCCATAAACTTGTCTCTTCCTTTTTCAGATTATTTTGATTATCACTGCAGTAAAATAAGTAAAACCGTGATTTTTATATAAAAAAAATGTTCAGGAAGACATTGTGAAACCAGGAGAAACAGTTGATGAGTTTATTCAGCGAACCTGGAAATAATTAGTTGTAAAAATTATTAATATGAAATACAAAAATTTGTTGTGAAATATCTGCTGATACATTTTGATCATATTGTTTAGTCATAATATTATATCAAGAATTCTCCAAGGGGTAGAAATAAAGGGAATTGAAATGGTACAGGTCCGGCTTAAGAAAGCCAGCCCCCCTTTTCAGCAGTGCTAAGGATTCATCAAATTTTAATGCGGATTCGGATCGGCACTGGGAAAAAGTTGATCCGGATCCGGATCCAGGTCATTTCTTCAAGATTTACTGAATTTTTTTTTAACAAAGCAGAATTTTCAAATGATCCTTATTTTTTTCGATTTTGTTTTTTGTTGATATTTTGCCCCTTGGATTCGCATATTTTTGCGGATCCGGATCCTAAGCACTACTTTTCAGGGAGCAAAACACAAATATCTCTGACATAATTGCTGAATTGAAGATTTAAAGGACAATGTTGAGATTACGTATTTAGTCCAAGGTTTTTAAGCAGGGTCACATTGTTGTGAACGAATGAAATTTTCGTGAACGATGGTGTCGTTCAGATGAAGAAAAAATTATTGGACAAACTTATTGCATCGTTCAAAGAGACGAATAAACGAACGATGGAAAATCGGTCGAACGAACTTTTAAAAAGATCGTTTTTTACTGAACGAACGAGTTTTCCGAATGAAAAAAATTTGCAAAATACGAACGAAAAATTTTCGCCTTTTTTTAACCCTACTCGCAAGCTTGATTTCGACGAAAATTATAAAAGTCTCACTTCAAAACACTATGCCAAATTAAAACAATTTATTACTAATTTCAGAAACATGGTAAAATAAAAGTCTTTTCTTAAATATGTGTTCGTATTTGTTGTATATTACAGAGCGCCCCATATCATATTAGATTATTTTCAATCTTTAACGCCAAAATACGCACATAATACTCGAAAAATCTAGCATTTTCTGCAAAAGAAATTTTTAATAATCGCTGTTAAATTTTTCAAAAGGATTCATTCTTCT